TACAGGATTGTTACAATGTTATAGTCTATCCCTTCATCTCTATGGCATAAAAGGACAGGCCAAGCCGGTTTGTGAGGAGTAGGTCAGAGTTTTATTATACATGAATCACCTGATGTTTTTTAATTTCATTTTACAATATGTGTGTACAGATGTCAGACATTCTGTTAAAACAAGATTTGTAGGTAAAAAAAAGGCTGATTCATGCAATGACATGGCAACTTAGTTATTAATCTAGAATTTGAGAGTAATTCCATAAATGTAAACTTTATTCTGTGCTACTGCAGACACTAAATATACATCCTGTAACCTACTTATGTTAGATAAGATGGATTTATTTCTGTCATTGTACAGAGTATAGGTACTGAGACAACAAACTGGATATGAACCCAAGCATGGTTGTGTTACATTCTCTGTTCATTATCTGTGTTTTAAAATGTTTTCTTCAACACTGTCGATATGTTTCAGGAATCTGCTATCGTTAAAGCTGTTGCATAAAGAAATCCCGTAAAATTAAGGAAGAACCTCAAAACCATCATAATGTGTCGAACTAAAATAAACAAATGGCATGTATGAAACGGCCTTCACTGACAGGTGCTACTGCTACATCCACTCAAGCATGTTTCAGTTTAAAAGTTGTTTGCAAAAAAGAGTCCATCCAAAAATGGCCAAGGCAAGGCAAGGCAAGGCAAGTTTATTTATATAGCACCTTTCAACACAAGGTAATTCAAAGTGCTTTACAAAAATGGAAGACATTTTAAAAATGGCATTTAAAATCAGTCATTAAAAAGAAAAGATAATAAAATAAACATTAAAAGAAAAAATACATGGATAAAAGTTAAAAGTTACAGTGCAGTTTAAGATGTGAATAGTTCAATTAAAAGCAGCGGCAAAAAGAAAAGTCTTCAGCCTGGATTTAAAAGTAGTAAGAGTTGCAGCGGACCTGCAGGTTTCTGGGAGTTTGTTCCAGATATTTGGAGCATAATAACTGAATGCCAAGACAAATTATAATATAAATGTTTATGTTTTATGATCTTCTTTGTCTTTTAATGGCAATTGCTGCATGTGTAAAAGTATTTGCTCTCACTCATTTCCCATTTATTTGCAGGGAACCCCCTGTTTTATATTACATGCTTTCATTTGTTTGAAAGCACCACCTTAATGAACCGAAGGATTAGTTCATTCTTACAAAATGTATAACCATACACGCAAGGAATATCTTTACTTCCTCAGCCAACAATATAGAAACCATGTGTTCTACTTCTAAAACACACTACATTTGAATTTTGAAATAAATGTTTACATTTAAACTCACTGACAGTTCACGAGGACAGGACGTGTTTGGCTGGCAGAGGCCCTTCACCTCTTTACAGTATTTACACTTGCTCCACCTAGCAGGCAGCATGGAGAATGCAGAATGCAATACATGAGCAAGAAATGGGTGCGGTCACAACTTGAAGTGATTCAAAGGTTATACTTCATAGAAATACAACACTGAATGTCCCCTATTTTTACATTACACTCTGCAGCTATCAAAGGCTTTGGAACACAAACTTTTGTAAATATTAAAATAACTTATATTAAGAAAGTATGATTTACCTTTGCCACAACATGCGTTAAGTAATGAAAAACCTATTTAGATTAGTTGTTGTTGATTTGTTGTCAGCCATCATTTTATAAGCTAATCACATAAATGATCAGGTGGTTTTATGAAGTCACTATTTGAACAAATTCCCTTTTGAGATTTAATTTCTACACGTTATTGTTTGTCTATTTGTTTTGCTTTTGGATGTGGCTAGGCTCTGTTGGACACTAATAGTAAACCTGCATTGCCTGTTTTGATCGCTCAACTGTTTTATTCCGGCAGCCAAGTGAACCTGTTGAACCATTAGACAACAGCCTGCATTAGGTTCTGTAAACCGCCTTTTTTTTAACCAATCACAAGAGCCTCATGGAAACAAACGAGAACCAATAGAAAGGTGTGTTTGCTGATAAACCAGATGAGAGTGAGTTAACACTTTGTGGAGACAGGACTATTTGATATTAAAAAAAAAGTAAGGACACATTCCCATTGCAGAGCAAATGTTCGAATATAACTTCTAAAGAAGTTGGGAAATAACAAAACTTCAAAACAATGCTTCCTAAGAAGATAATTGTGTGGATACATACAAAAATACAATTAGTGCCCCTTGTCTTTTGTTTATAATACATAATAATCTCTATGTGCAGTCAGTGATGGGTTGGGAATTATGTAAATTGTCAAGATACATGTTGGGATTAGACCATGTGAATTGACATAAACACATCCAAAGAGAGAAAGACGGAAAGACAAAGAGATATATACTATCAATGATATTTATGAAACAATCAGAACAAATCTGATATGGGAAAAGAATCAGTAGTATTTGAAATAATAGACATAACATTTCTATTTATGAAGCACTGACAGTGATATGTGCCCCGGAAAACATAGCAGGTGATGTCTGTTGAATGTTTGATGAGCCCATGAGTGTTTCCTTCCACAGAAGTGACATCTGATACCTATCAGCTACTTGTACAGTGATTGCCATAAACCGTAAAGGATCTTACAACAAACGAGACTTTTAGAAGTTGCTTTCCAGGAATGAAATGTTATTTGCAAACAGTTGACAGAGGCATGAGGGCCGTGAATCTCATATTTTGCATGCAACTTTTATACACAAATAACAAGCATGAGTTTCACAATGGCTCTGCACATCGCTTAATAGCAGAAGCATCTGTTTTCAGGGTCAGGTGTGTCAGAAATAACACAAACCTATTGTGGCCTGAAGGTAATTTGCATTACATCTTAAAGGCTATTGTTATTTGTTTTTCTTTTGGGTGTTGTTGCCTTCTGCTGACACGAAGGGTTAACCTGCATTACCTGTCATTGTCCAACCTTTCTCTGGCAGCCAAGTAAAACACTGTCTCATTTTGCTACAACTGCCTGCAGCAGGTATTTCTTTAAACAGCTTTTATCCAATCACAAGAGCCTTATGAAAACAAACAAGAACCAACAGAGAGTATATTTGTTGATAAACCAGATGGAAGTGATTGAACACTTTATGGAGCGGGGGAAAATCCATATAGAATGAAGCTAAATCAATTAATCTTGATATTTAAAGTGGTATGGAAACATTCACACTGAGCAAAGCGTGTTGTAATCAAACTTCTAAAGGCATCATTGGCAAACAACAAAACCCTAAAACAATGCTTCCTAAGAGCTTAAGGTGCAGCTAAAGATAATATGCAAATACTGCCCCCTGTGTTTTGTTAATCATAAATAATAAGTCATTTTCTAAATGTTTATTTATGGGTTGGAATTTTGTAATTTGACAAGATAAATGTTGGGTTTGATTCATGTTCATTTACACAAATACATCCAAACAGAGAAAGACAGAAAACAGAGAGATATACTCTTAACTCCTTTTATGGCGTAAAAGGATTCTGATATACAAGAAGTCCTTAACCTGTGAGGTACTCCAGACAGTAGTATTGGAAAGTGAATGTTTGAATTCATTTGATTTATTAGAAGCATTGATAGTGAAGTCTTGTTTAATTAATTGAATACCTCTGTTAAAGGAGGAAAGAATCTTTTCTTGTTTAAAAATAATTAATTAGATTTGTTAAGAACATTTCTAGTAAAGTCCAGTTAATTAAATCTGCTGACATTTTAAAAGAGCTTGGGTTTAAAGAAACGTTTTTATGTTTAAAATGAATATTTCTGTGCTTAGTCTGCTCAATCTATGTGTAACATATTCATAATTAAGGCAGCAGTTGCCAAACAAATGTATTGTGTACATGCTTTATTTACATGTTTACATGCTTTATTTATTTGATAACTTACAAATTCTAAAATGCATCATTCTTGTTTTCAAAGGTTTTTCACCCGCATAAAGTGACCCAGTCAGCAAAGACATTTGTTAAGTGAACTGCTAAATAAAAAGTCTGAAAAGATAAGCTGTGTCATTGGAGTGGAATCCTGTTCTCAAAGTCCTCAGGTCCCTTTCAAGTGGGGAATCTGCACAAAAACAGAGGACACTTGACAATGATCCTATGCATGTTTCCACAGCAGTGACATTAGATATCTATCAACTACATACACAGTGATTGCCATAAACCGTAAAGGATTTTACAACAAACCAAACTTACATTCTTACATCCGAAACTCAGTTAGACAGAGGTAGGAAAGCAGTGAATCTCACATTTTGCATGCAACATAATGGACCAATAACAAGCTTGAGTTTCACAATGGATGTGCATTTAGCTTAATAGCAGCCACAAATGTGTTAAGGGTCAGTTATGCCACACATAACATTAACCTACTGTGGGCTGAATGTCATTTGCAAATAAATAATAGTGCTACAATCAATTCATGATTAAAACATGTTAAAGTTATTGATATTTGATTTTCTTTGGGGTGTTGTTGCCCTCTGTTGGACACTAAAGGTAAACCTGCATTACCTGTTGCTGCATAATTGCCCAACCGTTGTTCTCCCACAGCCAAGTTAAACACTGTCTATGCCATTGAATAGCCTGCAGCATGTATTATTTTGGAAACCGCTTTTCAGCCAATCAGCCTTATGCGAAAAAAACTAGAACAGATAAAAAGGGGTGGTTGCTGATAAACTGAATGGGAGTGAGTTAACACTTTGTGGAGTGGAAGAAAATCCATATAGAATGAAGCAAAATCAAACAATCTTGATATTAAAAGTAGTATGAACACCTTTATATATACAGTCTATGATGAACACCCATCACTCCCATTGATTGCACCCAAGTCAGTAGTTTTGGAAATAATAGAGCTAACATTTATATTGATGAAGCACTGACAGTGATGAGTGCACTGCAACATAGCAGGTGATGTCTGTTGAATGTTTGATGATCCAATGCATGTTTCCACAGCAGTGACATCAGATACCTATCAGCTACTTGTACAGTGATTGCTATAAACCAATAAAAAAATAAAACACAACAAACCAAACTTAACTTATGGAAGTTTATTTTCTGGAATGAAACTTTCTTTGAAAACAGATGACTGAGGTATGAAGGCAGTGAATCTCACATTGTGCATGCAACTTTAATACACAAGCTTGAGTTTCATAATGTAAGTGCACAAAGCTAATACCAGCTACAACTGATTTCAGGTTCAGTTGTGTCACATAAAATATATGCATATTGTGACCTAAATATTATAATGGATGTGCAAATAATGGATGTGCAAATAGCTTAATAGCAGCAGCATCTGTTTTCAGGGTCAGTTGTGTCACATATAACATAAACATACTGCGGCCTAGATGCCATTTGTAAATATATTATGCATATTATACAAACATTTGTAGGTTTTGCAGGTAATATTCAGTCTTCTTGTTCAGCTTCTGGTTCTTTGCCCTTGACTTTCTTGCCACCCTTCCCTGTCTTCTTCTGGTAGTAGCATCTGGCCAGGACACACACACACCGACAAAACTCACGGAAGTTGACCTCTCCATCGTGGTTTTTATCCAACATCTCCATTGCCTCCCCGATGTCATCTGCATTGATTTTATCCTGGAGGACACATCATAATAGTTCAATAACAACATGAAATGCACAGAAGCCCACCTGAATGGTTGTCTACAGTATCACTTTTATTTTATGAATAGCATGTCATGCAAAGTAGGTGTTTAAAGTCTCTTACCTTTAACTCTGGGCTTTGTATCTCTAGCTCCAACACCTTCTTCAACTCTTCAATGTTTAACTGGGGTTTTTTGCCATCATCATCAGCATACTCCAGAAATACGTCAACAATGTTTGTAATGACCTGTTCCAGACGAGCCATGGCTGTAGCTGGAGAGAAAGATAGTAAGTAATTAGCAGAGGAAGGAGGAAATACCTTGACAACATAGACAATAAAATGAACAAAATAAACATGATAGTAGACACTATATTGTCAAAACTATGAAGCGTTGTGAGTTCGTAAGAGATATGTCATAAGACCAATGCTTAAAGTACTGGCTAAAGAGTAAATAAATAGGATGAAACCTGAATTAACATGATGAATGAATTTATAACAATAATGCCATTTATTGACTATTCCATTGTGCCTTGCATTATCATCATCTAAATGAAATGCTACTGTCCTTCTCTAACAATTAGCTTTAAGCAGTACTTACCTTAGAGTTCAAGTTCCCCGGATGAAGAGAGATCACGTCTGTGTTGCCGGCTGTCCCAAGTGAGAATGTTTCAGTCTGAGGGGAAAGCCTCCCTTTAAAGAGAAGACACACACACACACACACACACACACACACACACACACACACACACACACACACACACACACACACACACACACACACACACACACACACACACACACACACACACACACACACACACACACACACACACACACACACACACACACACACACACACACAGGGGCTTGTATACACCCACCAGCAGTGATTCATGCACTGGAAATGTTCCCCCTTTCCAACCAAAATAGTGTTACCATGTCTTTCTCTGAGTATTTCCATAATAAATACAAGACAGTGTTTATGTTTGTGTTTTATAGAGCAATTGTTACCCATGTTGACATGTGTGTGTTTGTGGGTGTCTGTGTGCATTGGTGAACAGTGGGAGTAGATCATCTAAAGCGAGGCTCTTCATTGAGGAGCTGCTCAGTGAAGCCTTCTGGAGAAAATATGTCAGTGAATGGAAAGTTACAGTCAGCACCCAGCCCAAAGTGGTGAGTGTGAAGTCATAGCTGTGTGTGTGTGTGTGTGTGTGTGTATGTGTGCGTGTGTGTGTGTGTGTGTGTGTGTGTGTGTGTGTGTGTGTGTGTGTGTGTGTGTGTGTGTGTGTGTGTGTGTGTGTGTGTGTGTGTGAGCGTGTGTGCGGAATTTGTCTCCATTTCCTGTTTGCCCAAGAGTTTTTTTAACACAGAAAATGCTTCATTTAAGGCTCATTTATTGTCAATATGCAATGTGTGGAACCACCAAATGATGTTGTAGTTGTAGTTTAGTCAATTATATAACTGAAAAAGAACATGACAGACCAGAACAGAACAAAAACAGTAGTAGTTTATTCCTGTTGTTCTACTGCAGCTACAAAGTGATTTCTTTTATTTTCTTAAAACTCTTTCTCTTGAAAAGTTAAGAAGTGAAAAAGAGCTATATGAGAGCCAGTTTTAAACTTGGCAGCAGCAGTCATAATCATAAATCTGCTTGATTAGAGTCTTCAAGTATCTCAATGTGAGTGTCTTGGCTATCCGTTTTAACATGTTGGATTTCTGGAGCCACTCCCCGCTCATCCTGCTCAACTGTTGCAAAACTCAGCCTCCATTTTCCACTCGTCTGTACACAGGCGGCAGAAGAGAAACATTTCCCTCCTCTCTTACCCTGTTTTGCCCCATGCCAAGTCCCTTTTAGATTAAACCATTCAGCACCAGTCTGCTCTTCACTTTGGCCGTATTACTTTCACTTATTGAATACGATCAGATTCTCCTTGCAGGGGAGGAAAAGAAAATAGAGACCTAGGATCATGTGGTGTTAATTACAAAAAAGTTCATCTCTCCACACTCTGCTGGCTGGAGTTACAGTTTCACTGTTGGAGCCTTTCTGTACCTCTGCAGTCTGCACCATGAACATGAGCACATGATCTTAAATGAAACACAAATAGCTTAGAACTACCTTCTAAATATTAGTTTTACCATTAAGTCACAGATGTAAATGTTTTCAAGACTTAATCTAAATGATTTATTACAATCTATATGCTGCTGTGGCTCTCTTCATTTTAAATAAAACCCACCAGTTAAACAGAAAGGCAAGCTTTGCAAGTGAAAAAACAAGAGCAAAAAGTCGTAAAATATACACTTAAACATAATAGCCATGAATCATACAGCAATGGATGGAATTTCTCAAAATTACCAGATGTGTATACAGGTTTCTCTATATTGTAGTGTATACAAACAAAAGGTCCAAAGGAGGTACTTTTGAAAGCAAAAACCATTTCCACCCACAGAAACAACATACCCAAAATACCTTTTCCACATTTACAGACAGACATTGCGACAGATAGCAAGATAAGTCTCTGACACTGTATAGGATGTACAGGAGCTGTTATGAAGACTGTGTTCCTAACAACTCCTGTACATCATCTGTACACACCACTCTCTGTACAAAATATATATTTGATGTATGATGTCCATTCAACTGATGTTTTGTGTCTTAAGATAACACAACCTTGACTTAAGCTGCATTTTCTTATAAAACTCAAGTGGTGGAATTAGAAAAAACAGTGGAGCAATATCTGAGTACAAAATATTGTTTTTTTAAAAGAGTATTCTGACATCTAGTGGCGTGATAAAGTCCATACATTACTTCCTGCTTAAAGGACCAAATCCCAGTGATGTTAAAGGCTGATAGCCGAGTTGTGACTATCCCCTCGCCAGAAATATATTGAGTACATTTAACTGTCTTTTTGATATCTAACTTCTTATTATATATTGTGACATCCAACTTACTTGGATCTCTCACATAATTGATGAAAACTATACCTATACATTTACAGGGATAGAAAGAGTGACATGATCAAGTAAAAGTACTGACACCTCGTGGCAATTATACTCAGGTACAGTTAATTTACTGGCATGTGTAAAAATATACCTATATAATGTCAAGAGCAGGCCATTTAAATTTGGGAAAAGGGAAGAAATGGAAGAACATTTTTTTATATGAGATGAAGTATGAAACTACTATCAAATCAAGATAACCTAAATGACAACATCACAACACAGAGGTCACATTTTTGAGCCAAAAATGTCATGTAGAAACATTTAGTTAATCCTGAAATAATCATTAAGAAAGTATTTGTCGTTGATTAATAAGTAATTTGCTGATACATGAATCACTGTGATCTGGGGAATAGCGTTAACCTCTGCACATGTTATGACCTGTAAATAAGTTCCTTGCTTGCATGTTAACAGAAGGGCTGGTGACTCTACCCTCATATATGATAGGTAAGATCATTTTAGAAGTCGCTTATGCTATTTTTATTGACAAAGAAGTGAGGGTAAATTCTGCTTTGTATACCTTTTAAAAATGTAACGTGACCCACCAGATCACAGTGAATACTTATTTATCATTTATAAAGATTTGTTTTTGATTATTTCATCAAGTATGTTCACTTTCCACTTATTGGTATGTTAATGAGTTCATTATTTAGCCCTATTAAAGGCCTATAAATGACTTATGACAGATTATTTAAAAAAAGTTTCTGGAAAAGCACCGGTGTCACTTATAACAGTAACGATTACATTATCACATTATAGACCCTGCAATCAAAACAGCTAAACAGCCTTCAGCCATCATTACTTTTACCTGTGCTTTTCCTCCAAGTGACAGATACTGCTTTTATTTATTTTCTTGCCAGACTCTCATGACAATGTTATTGAGATACTGTAAGTCACACCTGTGCTTTACTTTCATGACAAATCAAGCTATCAGCTGTTTAAAGGCCCTTTTCACACACTCCTGCAGCCTAGCAGCTAAATTGTGTAGTTTATTCTTACTTCAAATGTTGTTTTACTTTTAAAATAATTAAAGGCATGTTTCCTTCCCTCTGAAATGTATTTGAGAGTCTGGGTGTGTTCAACAGTGAGATCTCTCTGCTGGTGAATGCCAACGTTCCAAAGAACCAGGCTGAAAAGACAGAGAGGGTTTTTGTAATCATTGCCCAAAGGCTTTGAAATATTCTTTCCTTGAAAAACTTGGATCACAATTACCTGCTATTCAAATCTCCCTTATACTCCTCACACAAGGTCTATGGTCGATGTGCAATTTCATTTGACCTTCCTTTTAGCTGCTTCATAATACTTATTTTAGAATTCTGTGTTGGTTGGTGCAATGGTGTTTTCAAGGATGTCCATTTAAAAAAAGCCAGCCTGTGCCACATGTGGTGTGTGTGTGTGTGTGTGTGTGTGTGTGTGTGTGTGTGTGTGCGTGTGTGTGTGTGTGTGTGTGTGTGTGTGAGAGAAATATAATCAAAGAATGTGCAAGAAAGGAAACAGGATAATGAATTTGGAATCTAAATTAAAGAACAATACCACCAATTATCAAAAAGCCATGAGCATGCTTATCTTGCAAAACCCTAACTCATACCATAAAGGAATGTGGTGCTGCACCCAAGTTCATCTTGCAACATCTGAGTACAGCACATTCCCATATTGAACCATTTAAATACTGTCAAATCTGCTGCCTCAAGGGAACATTGATATTTATGGTTAAAATTATGTATCTGAGATGTGAACTCCTCAATATTCTCTGGACTTTCTGAGGTATCTGGCATTGGGAGAACTCTTTTTGACTGTAATGTTTCCATGTGAACACGAAATAGATAGTAAAGAGTGTATAACCATAAGAAAGATTTCATGAATAAGGTTGGAAAAGTGCTTTGTTCACGACATGCTCAAAAACAGACAGGAGGTCAAATCTTGTAAAAGGTTTTTACTTGGGGATTCTGTCCCACATTAGTGATTCATGTTCTAAACATTCAACATCATAATTCTTCCTTATATTTTCCCATCACTTCTTGGTCTTCTTCTTTTCGTGGAGCATGTAACACTTCTCACAGGCCATTGAGAGGCCGACGACAAGGGGAAGAAACTCTTCAAAGTCCAACTTATCATCTTTGTTTTGGTCCAAATCTTTCAAAATGAAATCCACAGTTTTGGGGTTCTGCTGGGTCTGAAAAAACATTAGCAAAAGAGACACGTTTAGGGTGCAAAGTTAAAGTGAGTACAGTTACATAGTACACCAGGGATATAGATGAGATTTGATATAAGGAAGAGGATTCTTACCTTCAGAAAGGTTGGCAACTCATTCTCCAGCAGTTTTTTTAGTTCTTTCTTGCTCAAGGTCTTTGCATCACCGTCTTCAATAGAATAGCGGTGGAACACCTTGATCAGACTCTCCATGCAGTTCTCTAACTCAGTCATGGCTGCGGAAGTGTGGGCTGAAAGGAGGAAAGACGATACACATTTTGACATTGCACATGAACTTCAATGAAGGATAAGACTGCAGTAAAGCAGTACACTTAATTACATTGTAGGCCTACTTTAACTAAGTATTACATGTTATGCTACTTTACACCCTTCACTACAATAATTAAGATGTTAATGGATAAATATAAGACTGTATTGATCCCTTGTTCAACTTCTCAGTATGTCAAAAGAAAACCACACCCCTTTTCCAGCTGCAACATGTTCATATTAATGTATCAATTATTATAATTCAGCAATACAGCATTATTCTGAAATGGGCTATTCTGCATTAAGAGTTACATTGCATTACATTACATGTCAGTTAATGAGTTATTGTCCTTACTGTTCTTAGTGTATTTCAGTACTAATACTTTAACTAGGATTTTGAATACAGGTCGTATACAGGCGTTGGTCTTACTGGCACTCAGAGCAAATTCTTTAACCATTAGACAATATTTTCTGGCACATAAACCAAAATCCTTATCTCAAGCCTCCCACTCTTCCTCTCCCCTTCCTTCAATTGAACCATTTCTGGCTCAGTTCCAAAAAAAACAAAAAACCCGAAGATCTTTAGAAATCGAATAGACGAAAAAGAGGCTACTTGTCAGAAGAGGAAAGTCGTGCGTAATGCACCAACAACGCCCAAGCTCACCAAGGAAATATGTTGAAATAACAGAATAAACTTAAAGAAAAATAGTTTTATGTAGCCACATTTAAACATAGCCTTAACCGAGAAGAATAATCTTAGCCAACCGAGAAGAATAATCTTTAATCTTCATAATAGATTTTGAGATTTCGTCGAAACTAGCAATTTAAGAACACGAAACAACAGTGGAAGCAGATAAGTACGTTTTTGAGTAATTAAAACAAACTTACCAGGAAACAAAGAGGCAGAAAGTGTAGTTTGAGATTCAGTGAAGAGTGCAGACCCTCACTGGATATGTATTCAACAATTTATAGACCGCTGGGCAACGCCCAATATGATGGGAGGGACAGAGAGAAAGAGGCAGAGAGAAAGAGGGAGCTAACTTAAAAAGACATGAGCAAATACTATCCAAGTTTCCCCACAACTCTCGCCACAAGAAATACAGAGATGAATCTACTAATGCTACTTACTGTTCATATATATTTCCTTTAGATATTTAAGATAATGTTATCTTTAGACAGAAAAGTCCAGGTCCAATTCCCAAATCAGGAAAATCTGCGTAAGACAATCAGTTATTCAAAGTTGTTCTTGTTTGAATCATGATTAAGGTGGGTAAAGCACAGCGCAATGACGCAGTTCTGCTGAATGACACACACATATCCTATATTTGCTGGGACATGCTGTGTACGAACAAGCCCGAGCCTCTCATGCCTGAGTCTTGATCTGTTATACATTACATTATGATGTCATTTGTTAGACGCTTTTATCCAAAGGAACATTCAGTACTGTGGGCAATCCCCACAGGAACAATTTGGGGTGAAGTGTCTTGCCCAGGGACACAACGACATGCTGACTGCAGTGGGACTCGAACTTGCAACCCCCTGATTAGAAGTCCAGCACTCTATCCACATAGCCACAGCCACCCTGTTATAGGCAACATAACGGTATTACGCATTTAAAAAATACACACTCGTTCTTCTCTGCTTTAGAACAGCCAACTCGCATGAATTGATTTGTGATGATATTGATTAAAATAAGGTAGAAATGATGTCTTTAACCATCTCTATCTAAAGCCTTCCGTTTATCTAAGGAAGATCCTTCATCAGGCACGCCCTGTCCACAGACAGTCACACCTGGAAGCTGTCCAGAAGCACCATCATACGGTCTGATGGCAACTGAGCAGCTTTACTAGAATTGTATAACTTGAGATCCTCAATGATTTCATCTTTTTTAATTTTATCTTGTCAATCTAATATTTTTTGTCTAACCTTTTGGCATTGATGGCATGTTGTACTTTTCACCACCCTGAAGAATATCACTTGAATGTTCAACTAGTCATCACTCACCTGTCTTTGAGCAAACAGTGAAGTCACTGCACTGACAAGTAACTACCTGTCCACATGCCAGGGTTTTACGCTGTCCCCACCATGGCCATATCATTTCAAATCACAAGTTAGCATTCTCAGTGAAAACATGAACTTTTGATAGACCAAACCATATGCTGTGTTAGCCTGTGTGCATTACAATTACACATTCCATATTTATATTGTGTCTAAATACAATTACTCTAAGACTTCTGTGAATCATGGCAGTCCTGACATTACACATTCACACACACATGACAATCATAACCGGTTTACTTATCATCATCAAGCATCAATGGTATGGTTACTTTGTGGAACACTGTTGGCAGAAGACCATAACCAAGACAAACTGAATATGTGTCTCTCCCTCCCCTGCTTTTTCCTAAACAGCATGTCAGCTCACAGATGTTTTAGGATATCACCACACCCACCTGAACAAATACACAGCCATTTGCTAAGTGCACAAATGTGGTTTGACAAAATTAAAACACCTTAAAAGTCTTTTTACAGAGTTTAATTACAAAATGAATTAAACAAAAGAAGCAACTTGATGTGCTGATGAATAGACAGGTTGGGATGTTTCAATCTCTTTGCAATCAGTGTAAAACGAGTGCTGAGGAAAAGGTTATCAATGGAATGTTGACAGCTGTTTGGCTTTTTGTTATGACCCTAAGCACGAGATCATTGTAAAAAAAAAAAGGACTATGACTGACTTGAAGTCATGGGACTGTTTGTTGCTTTCCAAATAATCTTTAAAAAGTCTGCTGAAATACACAAAGGGTTATGGATTGAAGACAAGACTACAAAATGTGCAACTTCTTTGTTGCACTGGGCCATCAGCACCTGGGTAATATTAACTGATTCACTGGATGCAAGTGGGATCCAACAGATTCATCAGTTCTTCCTTTTGCCCTTGCTGGCAGCCTTGGCTGCTGTTACCGCGGGAACAGCGGCTTGGTAGAGCGCAGCAGATACTTTGTTGATGTAGTACACGGCAAAGAGGGAGAATATCAGGCTGGAAGAGAAATAAGAAGAAAAAGCAATATAATTAAATTAATTTAGAGACTACTTTTAACTATGTTTTATAAAGCTGATTATGGTCTTTGTGATCTGCAGAGGTATTGTCACATACCATGTGGTGACACAGACGCGGTGTACCAGTCCAGAGGCAAACAGCGATAGGCACAGGCACACCAAAACTGGAAGAGATAATAAATAACCAGTTAGGATATATGAAAAGAGAAATATTTGGATATGTATTATGTCAGCAAAATAGAAATAGAAAAAGACACACTGGAGTGACGACAGGAGTCTGATTTAAGTGTTGTCATTACTTACTCTCTGGGAATATCTTGGCTTGGAATCCCTTCCCAAAAATCAGATTTTCCAGATTATTAAATGCCTGGAAATAAAGTTAAGGGGAATCTCCTCAGTGGTATCTGTGTATTTACATGCATACAGAAAACAGGAAACACAGAGAAATGGTGTGTACCTTTTTGCTGCAATAGTATGGGGTGATGATTACAAAAAGTTACATTTAAACAAAGCATGAAGTAATAAAGATTGTTGCAGTTTAGTAATTGACAACAGGGATTGAAACAGGTCAATAGGATACAGTGAGGGAGCAGATGAAGAGGACTGAGCCCAGGAAACCCCCCACGATGGTGAGCCACTCAGTGGATCCCAGCTGCTTACTGAACATCTGCATGCCAGCAAATACCAGCACTGACAGCAGACTGGACAGCACTAGAGAGGTGCCTGTGTTCACTGCTACAAGACACAAAGGGATCATTCAAACACAGATGTTAAAACAAGAATCAAGGAAGACAATGGCTTATCTAAAAATAATTGGAAAAGTATGCTGGAGTTATACACCGGAAGAGGCAGGACACTTGAGCTGCAGCTAAACTGATTGAATTTGTCTCTGCGAGCAGACAAAGTACATTTAATATCTATACAATCAAAAGTGAAAACAGTAAGTAGAGTACAGAAGTATAGCTTTGACTGCTAAACTAGTTCGTTTCAGCTAGTAAAAACACTAATATAATCGAACTCGTTATAACGTAACGCCACGTCAGTGTTCGTTCATAAATGTTTCCGTCAAATTGCTGCTAGCTATAAGCTAAACAACCGAGGGTAGCAGCAAATGTATACGGCTGATGCAACTCTCTACATACATAGTGCAATACAAAGTGTGACTCATGGCAGACGTATAATAATGCATTCGTTAAATAAATAGCTGCTAATAAAGTAATCTATTTCTAAACGTTAACGTTAGCTAGCTAGCTAGAACACAGAACTAGGCACTACAAAACAATGTCTCTTCGAATACAAACGCACTTGTTGAGTTGACTTGAATGATAAAATAATCATGCAATACATACCCATATTTCAATGTTTAATTAGAGTCCGTGTAAGGAAACAGAGGTGAATTAAGCACTTGGTTGTGCCAGCTAACTTCCCCGGCTCTAGGAACTAAAAACCCTCTCCACCCGGTCCAGATTACAGGTGGGACCAGTGGGCGGAGTCTTGAGAGAGGCAAGAGGAACCTGTTGTTGTGCTGGTTAGATTGATATTGTTTTTATTTTATCTGCTGAATAAAACGCCCTGTTATAAGTCTCGTAACACCTGGTTCTTATTTTTCATATTAACTTTTTTTACATGTACACAATCGAAAATTCAATAATGAAAGCCCTTTATTTTGTTTGCTGACACATTTGAACCGTAAATTAAACCATGAATTCCTGCTATAATAAGAAAGCCTGTACTGCAAATGAGTGTATTAGCATCTTCAAAAAGGTTTCGTTCTGCTATTTAGTGGCTTTTTTTTTTTAAAGCATAAGATGTTTTTTATTTTTATTCCTAGTTAATTTAATAGGATACCCATACCCATTTGCTGTAGGGAAACAGAATATAGAAACTCTGCGTCATTGTTGTAACCCCGTTTTTATGAATATATTGTAAAATCATTAATGTGATGCGTTCCATAATTTACAAAAAGGCTCAGGCTGTTTACTATACCAAAAGCTCAACCTTTCAAATGCTTAAATGGGTATTACATTTGAGGGCCTGCTAATTTGGGTGAAGAAAGCAGTATTTCTACATGCTGTGAAACAGATGTCCCAGAGAGGCAAAAATAAACACAAATGCCAAATCGTTTCAGAGCAAAAAAAATTGACGACCATCAACAGTTTGAGAAAGAATTTATACAAAATGTATTTGGCATTATAATAGCATTCAAGACCTTCCATAGAAATTTGACAGATAGAATGCAAACATAAAACCACATCAATGTCTACGGTTAATGAAAACCTAAATGTATAAAAATATAAAACGACAGACAGAGAGTGGCCTGTATATCCCTTTGATGTATGTCGGTGCACTGTATTCACGTAACTCAGTAAAACACAGTTTTTCAGTTCATTCCTCTGCACATTATTATTGAATCACAGACCCTCTGTAGCTACAGTGTCTGTTGATACAGCGAGGCAGTTGTCCACATCCACACTCATTTGTAGCTTCAGGAGTTTCTTTCATAATGGCTTCTTCTTCAGTCCAAAAACAGCTATAAACAGAAAAATCTCCACGAAGGCAGGTAGCACACTAGGTGGGAGAGAGAGAGAGACAGAGAAATGTAGGGAGAAGTGCAACAGTGAGGACAGTGCCTGAAGACATTTATACTTACTGATACTCAATTTTATAGAGACACTATGAATTTGCTTTCTGAAAAGCTGATACGTCATCTGAACACACACCAACCTGCAGATGGCAAAAATAACCCAATAGGTCCAGCATTCCCACTTCTCAATTACAAAGAAAGACAGGGATACGGAAGCGCTGCAGTGGACAGCGAGTGCTGGGTGTAGTTACTGTCAGGGAAAAAATACTCTTTTTGGAAAAACGTTTGGGTAGGTATACACTAACCTGCAAATGGCAAGGATCCACCAGTAGATGTCACACTCCCACTGCTCAAATAGAAAGAAAAGCAGAGCCACTGATGCACTGGCATGGGCTCCTGTTGCTAATGTAGACGAGGAGGCGAATATACAGAGGTTTGAAGTCATGGAATTGTAACTGACAACTAGAATGACTTTTAATATATCACTTGTTCTAGTTTTTATACTTACTTGACACCAATTCGCTGGCTGTCTTTATTTCTAAAATTGCAAAATCCCACCTCCCATCCTTTGTCCAGGAGACAGATGTCCATGCACTTGCTGCTGTAATCTCACAGCTTCTATTTTTTGTGTGCACATTATTATTATTATTGGATGATAACATTGAATATATACATCTCTCTTTATTTGACTTTCATAAGTAACTATCTTTACTTGAGTATTAGGGATCAGTAAAGGTTGTCTTATCTTATGAATAATCACCTATGAGGGACCCACACTATCAGTGTAAAGGATACACAGGAGACCTTGGCTGCAGTTGAACATGGACACTCCTGAGAAGAACCCAGCCAACTCTACAGCAAAGAGACCGAGGGTGACGGCCAATCCCACCACCAACCTTAGGCAAAGAGAGACATATTAGAGGGTGTGTGTGCATGTGTGTGGCCAGTTATGTCTCTTTTTGTGTATGGGTTTGTCTTATTACTTCATGTCTTCATCGTCATACTGCTCTTGCGTGAAATCCAAAGGCAAGCAAGCCTTCACGTTGTTTTCCTGTGAAAGAACATTTCAAACCACTTAGCATCGAAAACACTTACAAACAAGTGGAGAAACAGTGGATAATTGAAAGGATATTTAATGACACACACGTATTTGTTATCATTAAAAACACCTAACACTATTATCTGAATGTCAACCAATGTGTTTACAAAAAACGCTTTACTTACCCTCGACCAAAAGATTGTGATAACGATGACAAGGTGAGCTGTGAGAGTCAGGAACCGTGCAGGGACGAGACTGCTGACAGCCGACATGGTGCAACTATAAAACAACCAGTAACTTACACTAAAATACGATGGGCAAACCAATGCAACGTTATTTACCGGTATGTAAACGTGCCTAGCTAAACCAGTGTTAGGATTAGTTTAGTTTGCTCATTAGCATTTAGCTGAGGTGTGATACTTAAGGTAACTTTATCAAAGGCAAACCATCACTACAGCTCGCCACTGAACGTAGACTAATAGATTTTAACAAACATATCGCTACTTCAACTTATATTTAGCTAAATACATCAACACACCACAGATGCGAACCGACGCTATTGCGCTTTAAAGCGGTTGCTACAACAACCGATATAATCCGGTGCATTCCTAAATACAGTCCGGTTTAACCAACGACCAGCCTCCAAAGGTTCCTGACACGGACAACAATTGAGAGAGGACTGCTCGTGTTTTTTTACACAACACTGCCATCTAACGGTACTACGAAAACTAGGCCACAAACAATTTGGCATAATTTGGACATGTTAAGAGACACGTACCTCCGAAAACAGCAACCATAAGGTTTATTTTGACAAACTGAGCTGCGTATTAGGGCTGCTGTAGTTGGGAGAAAACAAGAAGGAAGCGGAAACGTTTCAAACATTATATATTTAAACTGTATAAAGAGAAATGGCGTTTAATACATAATACATCATATATAACCTGTTCAATTAAAACTAGCGATTGCTGTCAATTAAAACTAATAAGATAGCATTTCAACATGTGTATTCCTTGTGCATTGCGGCTGTGATATAGCCTAGCCTAAAATCGGACCTTTCCATCCTATTTCTCATCGAGCGGTTCTGAGACAGACAGAAACACCGTGTGCGCAACAGCAGCACTGAAACCAGCCACAGCAGATCTGTTGTCCGGTTCACCATCCGAGGCCCAGGGTCGGCTTTTCCGTCTCTACGACTGACATCAACCTGCACCTGCCTTTCCCCAGAGATAACAATCATTTTAGCTTTTGTTTCGCAGAGCTCTGGCAGCCATGGCAGAAACGGAGTTACAAAGCTTTACCTCTATCATGGACGCTTTGGTTCGCATTAGTGTGAGTATGACTCTCATTTCTATTACGTTATTTATTTAACCCACGTGTGCGTAGTGTAAATGTGATAGTATGTCTATCTTTTGTCCTAATATTAAAGCACATCATTTAGCCATATATCCTTTTCGTATCCATATGGATGCACAGGTTGTGTCCGTAATGAAGGAATATGATGCATTTATTTCGTTACAGTATATTTTGGCAATAATCCAATCAAAGAGAGGTTTGATTTTCAGCAAAGCTAGCACTGTGGGTGGAAACATAAAAGCAAGGCCACAACAACATATGCACAAAGCCCAACGTTTGTACCATATAAAGCATGGATATTTTAATCATTATTAATCCACAAAATATGTTGCTAACAGCAGTAGTTTAAATGCTTAAGTGCCGCATACGATCAGAAACTAGAGATGATGGCGTTGTCATAGAAACGGGATGCTGCGTTTAGTAGCTTTAACACCGGAACAGGGCCTCCTCCACAACCAGCAACACTTAAAAAACGAGGCCTGAGCAGCAACAACCGAGAGATATATTCATTTTGAGTTGAACATTTCCCCTTGAACACGCCTCATAGTCAGCTCCCAAAGCATCCTATGCCAGAGTTTACATATTAAGGGTTCAAAGGGAAGGGGAGGCTAGCTGACAATATTGAATATCAAAGCAGGTTGGCTAACACTTGAAATCAGGCAATGCTATTTGTCCTTAACATTTGCCCCTTTTTGGCTCTGTACATCGGAAATCCACCTACATAACCATCTGCTTCTGCTCCCCTTCCCGCTCTTGACACCTACATATCTCATATACATTCTTTTCAGGTCACAGCAGGAGGTGCAGAATGTAAATAGCCAGCTTTATTTTCTCTAGTGACTCAGCCTTTATCGATGTAACTCCTCACAGTTCTCTTCTTGACTATTTCCTCTCCAGTCTAACATGAAGAGTATGGAAAAGGAGCTGCGTTGCCCGGTATGTGATGAGATGGTGAAGCAGCCCATCCTTCTGCCCTGCCTGCACAGTGTGTGTCTGCTGTGTGCGGCAGAGGTGTTGGTACAAAGAGGTTACCCTCCTCCAGACCTTCCTCCAGAGCCCAACTCACCGGCCTCAACGCCCAACACTCGCTCCCCTCGACAGGCACGAAGACCAACACCCAGAACGCCCGACCGCCTGGAACGAGTCCTCAGAACAGGTGCAGAACGGATGAGGAGTTTACTTGTATGGGTGTTTGGTACAGGAAACTGATGGGCATTTTAAATGGCCTTGCAGCTTAACATGCAATTAGCTTCGAAAATGAAACTGAATGATCTCAGTATTAAGTCATATTAGAGTGACATCATCATTTAAAAACTGCAAACCGGGATATGATGCCACTGACCAGTTCAAATCTGACTTAATTGATGATCTTGCTGACAAATAAGTATCCTGCTGTGCATCCAGGGCTTTATGCATTCATCTCATAACTTATTTAAGTGCATGTAGAGCAATGGCCATCGTGGAAGAGAGTGAAGCAGGCAGTAAGGGTCTGTTGAATATAGGTTAAACAGTGTTTCCTCCATAGTGAGCTAACCTATTTATTTATCACTGTGCTCTATTTGTATTTCATTGAGGGAAAATTGAGTTCTGCTCTTTTTTTCTCCTCTATTTATCTATCCATGACCATCTCCCTTCCTTTACACCTGCGTCCTTCCCTCAGTGTGCGGCACATACCCAGGGCGGAGGCGGAAAGAGACGACCCTTCCCCCCATGTTGTTCCCGTGTCCTTCCTGTCAGCAGGAGGTGGAGCTCGGAGAGAAAGGCCTGACAGACTGCCTCCGCAACCTCACACTGGAGCGGATTGTGGAGAGGTTCGTTTACACACAAACATCATAAATCTATACTGTAGCAGAGAGAGTGTAGTCGGGTGTTGTAGTCAGAGCTGATGGTGCTGGCACAAACATGACTTGTGGTGTGTTGTTATCTCATCCTATGATAATGTTTCGGCATGAGCTCATTAACAGAAACTATAAATAAAGAAAAAGAAATGTAACAATCCTGCAGGTAATAACGAACGGCAGCGAAGGAAGGGTTTAGTCGATAGTGCTTAATAAACGAGACAGGAAATCACTGGCTGGAAGGAGTTTCAATAATGAATCTTTCCTTTCCTCCTGATTCAAGGCTTACCCTAAGAGCAGAATGCAGGGACAGCTCAAAAACTGCAGTGTACTGTACTACAAAACTATGGAAAGACACGCAATTGAACCAAAGTTATGTTCTGGAAGTTTAGAAGCAGAGTTCTTCATATCCTTCTTTAATTTGAATCATCCTCTTCTCTTATCAGTTAAAATGTTGGAGATCATAGTGAGAGGAGCTGCTTGGAAAAGTGTTCTGGGAAGGGGATAGGCACTTTACCAGTTTCACACACAGCATTTTGATGAGAGCAGCTGCTTCCTCCCCAGACAGTGGTTGGGTTGGTCAGAAAAGTGTGACGGTGCATGTTTTACTGCACAGGATGTACTAACAAGGCAGCTGCTGGGGATGTATCCAGGTCAGGCAGTAAAAAGAGTTAGAATCCTAACTACTGAAAAGAGAGCAGGTCAAACTGTGATGTGCTCCATCTTCCCTTTGTTTAGTTTTAAAGGCTCCTTATTGGCTCTCTATTTTTTCTTCTGCAGCATTGCTTTAGCCCAGTTCTTATCTCCTTGTTGCCCTGTCTGCCCTTTAGGTACAGGCACACAGTGAGTCTGGGCAGCATAGCCATCATGTGTGGTTTCTGTAAGCCTCCTCAGTCTCTGGAGGCTACAAAGGGCTGCGCTGACTGTAAGTCCAACTTCTGCAACGAATGTTTCAAACTCTACCATCCCTGGGGAACCCCTCGAGCTCAGCACGAACACATTTTACCCACCAACAACTTTCGACCAAAGGTTTGTCTGTTTTAGTTTTTTGTGGATCAACTATAGTAGCTTCCCTTCTATTGTCATTGTGGTTTAAACCTTTTGTTGTGCTCTAGGTCTTGGTGTGCACAGAGCATGAGCAGGAGAGACTGCTGTGGTACTGCCGTAACTGCCAGAAGTTACTGTGCCCACTTTGTAAGCTCCGTCGTGCCCACCATGGGCACAAAGTGTTGCCCATAGCACAGGCTTACCAGGCCCTCAAGGTGAGTCTGCTTCGACTGTGTTGAGATCTGGAGGTTAGCAGCCTTGAAATGTCAACTTCTCTTCTGGTCTTACAGGACAAAGTTAACAAGGAAGTCAACTTCATTCTGGCCAACCAGGAGACAATACAGAGTCAGATCACTCAACTGGAAGCTGCCAACAAACAGATGGAGGTGACCCCGTTTCCAATTATTGTGAAACCCTTTTCTTTGTGTTGGTGCAAGTGTATTCCAAAGAGACTCTGATGCAATACGTTTCTGTGAAAATGACTATCCCATGTAACTAGCAGGAACTTTGGGATTCATCCTGTGCTGTTGTCTAAACAATCAACCAATAAGTTGTTTTTGTATAACGGGGTGAAAGTAGGATGTTGGCTTGAAATGTCTCCTTGCAAAATAGCATATTTGTTTAGAACCAATCAACAACATACTGTAGTGGAGAGGAAGCTACTTCTTTTATTGTACTTCAAAACAATGGTGATTCATTCATAGCCTATCCTGCCGGTTTACTGTAACTACAGCTGCAACTATTAAAGGTATAATAAGTTGGCCCTCTAGAGGCCTAGGACTTTGGTGCAATGACACACTTTTGTGCGGGCAATAGCTACAACATTGATTCTGTGTTTATCATTCCAAGTCATTGCTCTTTATCTCAACACGTTCTCCCCTCTCTGTCTCTCTCCAGGCGAACAGCTCAGTGGCCCTGCATCAGCTGACCCACTGTATCAGAGAGTTGGGGGCGGCCATCTCGGAGCGTCAGGGGGCTTTGGCCCTGGCCCTGGAGGGGTCCCGCTGCAGGAAGGGGGAAGCCCTGTCTTCCCAGGTGTCAGAGAGGAGGGGCCTGCTGGAGCATGCAGGCCTGATGGCCTACACACAGGAGCTGCTCAAGGAGACCGATCAACCTTGCTTTGTACAGGCTGCCAGAGTCACTCACAGCAGGTAAAACACACAGTCCGCTGAATCCTACATTTAAGAGGAATGAATTGGTAAGATATGGTTATCTGACATCTGTGTGTCTCTCACTCTCCAGGTTAGGGAAGGCCATAGAAAACCTTCAATGTTTCACTCTCTCAGCTGATCCCTCCTTCAGACACTTTCATCTGGACACGTCCAAAGAGGTTAAACTCATCCACAGCTTGGATTTCATACATGGTGGGCACCTT